TCTGTCCAGTTACAAAACTGATTTAGCCTAGCCAGGTTAAACTAACCTGCAAAGATTGAATCAGTTCAGGCTCAGCCTTTTTGAATGTCTGTCCGTACCCAAAGGGTATAACTCTGTTGCCTCTGCTCTTTATTGTAATCACTTACATGAGTGCAAAATTGTTTGTAAGAAGGTACCACCAAATCAGGATTTTTCTCTAATACCAGCAGGAGAGTATTACATCAGTTTTGCCCAGTTGACACAGAATATGAGGCAGCAAATAACCAGCCTCCTTACTAGTGACTGTGATTACTAGTTAAGCAAACTGAAGACAGTAGAGCAACTATTTAGCATAATGTTTCTCCTAGGCTCAAAACTTGGAGTAAAAAAAAAGTGAATTTAGAGGCTGCTAAAAATTGAGTTACAGAAAATTATATTAAAATTAAGTATGCTTTTACAGTCTCTTTATAAAGTACGCTTGAAATTAACATGTAGTAATTACTTAAAAGTTGTGTAAGGGAGGATTTCCTTTTTCTTTAACATTTGTCACTTTTGCTAACATTAGTACAGCAGCAACAGTGAAAGCAGTAGTGGAAACAAAGCTGTTACCTACTACTGACATTCTAACCATCCTCCTGTCTAACTGTGAAGAGGAAGTGTTTGAAACACTCTCAGTAGCTAGACTGAGCTAGACAACATAGCTGTGTTACCAGCTGAACTGATAGTAGCAATGCTGGGAAGTGCTAGGAAGACAATGTCACTAACAAGTGTGAAAAAAATGTGTCAACTATTTACAGAATTAAGAAGTGACTTAAATTACACTGTAGCTCAAATTGCTCTTCTTTTCTTACTGTGCTTTTTTAACATGTCAGTTAATGATTAACCTTTTCTGCTGTTCATCTCCCTCTTTGAAATAGTATGTTTACTGAACTGCCTTTATTTTAGGTTTTTTTTCCTTAACTTCTTGATTAAAACTTAGGAGTATTAGAAGTATCCTCAATGTTTTTCTTTACCTAAACTGAATTATCAGTTTGACTCAAGTGGACTTATCCAGCCCCGTTCTCATGTCCTTACTCCATTTTTATTCAGTTTTGACTCAGGCAAAACTCACTTGAATCCATGTTTATTGTCTGTAAGAATCTAAAGATTTGGCCTTTTTTTCTACTATTAAAGAGCTGGATTTGGCCCAAAATGCCATGATATATAGGTATAGGAAATGTCTTTGCACATTAGTACAGAGAGCTGTGTATGTCAATTTACATACAGAGAAGAACCAGGAGAACATAAACTGAAATATGTCATAAGAATTTGTATTGTAGAATTCCTTTTTTGATTAATTTCAGTTTTGTGAAAAAACAGGATTGAGGCATATATAACAGAAAATATTTAATAAATAAACTTGGAATGGTACACCATGAATTTTCAAGAGATTTCTTAGAATCATGAAAATTAGGGTTGGAAGGGACCTCAGGAAGTCATCTAGTCCAACCCCGTACTCAAAGCAAGACCATCCCTATCTAGATCATCCCAGTTAAAGCTTTGTCTAGATGGGTCTTAAAAACCTCCAAAGACGGAGCTTCCACCACTTCTCTGGGTAACCTGTTCCAGTGCTTTACTAGCCTCCTAGTGAGAAAATTCTTATTATTCTCTAACCTAAACTTCCCTTGCTGCAACTTGAGATGGTTGCTCCTTGTTCTGTCATCTGCCACCACTGAGAACACTCTAGCTCCATCCTCTTTTGAACCCCACTTCAGGTATTTGCAGGCTGCTATGAAGTCCCCTCTCAGTCTTCTCTTCTGTAGACTAATAAGCCCAGTTCCCTCAGCCTCTCCTCATAAGTTGTGTGCCCCATCCCCCTCACCATTTTCATTGCCCTCCGCTGGACTCTCTCTAATGTTTCCAAATCCTTTCTGTAATGGGTGGGCCCAAAAGTGAACACAGTACTCCAGATGTGGATTCACCAATGCTGAATAGAGAAGAATAATCACGTCCCTTTCCCTGCTGGCAACACTTCTACCAGTGTAGACCAGTATTCTATTAGCCTTCTTGGCAACAAGGGCATGCTGTTGGCTCATATTCAGCTTATTGTTTACTGTAACCTGCAGGTCCTTTTCTGTAGAGCTGCTATCCAACCAGCTAGCCTCCAGCCTGTACCAGTGCATGGGATTCTTCTGTCCTAAGTGGAGGACTTTGCACTTATCCTTGTTGAACCTCGTGGCTAGGGACAGACATTACACATGGATCGGTTTGAATGATCAGAAACTAGTTTAAACCTTTAACAGAACAGATGTTCATTGCACATAAACCAGTTTGAAAACAGCTGAAATGGGTTTGAGATAAACCTGGTTGAATGCAGTATCATACTTAACTGATCTGGGTCAAACTGGTTTATGCAATGTCTTTCTCAGACCCATTGCTGGACTCCCCCAGCATCCTGGGCTGGGTGGGGCTCTCTGCTCCACAGCAGAGATGGCCCCTCTCCTCTGCTCCCTCGCTGGAGCTGCAGCAGAGACTGCAGGCATCTGCCTGACTTCTCCCTGCTAACCAGGGATTATTCTTCCGTGCCCCTCTGCTTTACACAAACACCTCTCAGCATTAGTTAGCACACCACCTGCTGGCTGCAGTCTGTGCTGCGAGAGACGATAAAGGCAGACAGGCTTTTTGGAGCTAATCGGCAGGTAGCTGGTAATATCCTTCTTGGAAAAGCTGTTTAAGAAGAGATCTTGAACTAATGGAGAGAGGCTTTGTTTTCTTAAAGGGTTGATAAACACTGAGTTAGGTGTGATAAGCATTCCCTGCTAGGCTGCTCAGGGGGAGGGGGAGAACCTCTCCCTAATCAGAGCATCCTCCTGGGGCCTGACCATGCCTGCCTCAACTTAGCACTATGGAAGAGTAGGGAGAGCTACTCTAGTGCCCCCCGGCTTCTAGCTTGAGCCACTACAGCTATGTGCCTGAACTTGTTCAGTCCAGAGGGGATATCTGTACAGTTATAAACTGGTTTAGCCTAGCCAGGTTAGACTAACCTGCAAAGATTGAATCAATTCAGGCTTTTTGAATGTCTGTCTCTAGCACACGGGCAGGCAATTATTTTGAGTGGAGGGCTGCTTACCCAGTTTTGTCAGGCTGTCGAGAGCTGCATTAGTAGCCCTGCCCCTTGAGAGGTGCCCCGCCCCCTGGTCACCATCTTGGGACCAATGTCCCAGGGCCAGCACCGGTGGGGTCCAGAGTGGGGCACAGGCCTGCAGGGGTCTGTGGAGCCAGACTGGCCTGCACCAGCAGGGAGGGGGGAGCTGGCTGGGCTCCATAGAACCCCTGTCAGCTGGGACCCTGCACTTCTGCCACCCTGCTCTAGGCCCCACCGGCACTAGCTCTGGGCACTGGTGTGGGCCCCGTGCTCCCGCTGGCTCCCCACCCACTCACTCCCAGTGCCCCGCAGCCCTACGGTACAGGCAGGGGGCGGCACTCAGCCTCGACCCCCTGCTCACCAGCAGGGAAGCTGGTGGTGAGTGTGCGGAAAAGTGGCCCCTCGCCTGCCCCATGGCCAGTGGTCCCTGCTGCAGGCGCTCGCAGCCCCCACGGGGCTGTCTGGAGCAGGCACAGGAAGCCTCATGCAGGCTGCAGGTGGCTGCAGCGCAGGGCGCTGGCCATGAGGCAGGCGAGGGGCCACTTTTCCCCTTGCTCAGCACCAGCTTGTAACCCTCCCAACTGCCAGCCTGGCAGTGGGGCCAGGTTATAAGGTGGTGCTGAGTGCGGGGTGGGGGGAGAAAGCAGCCCCTCCCTGCCGCATGCCCAGTTCCCTGCACTGCAGCTGCTCGCAGCCGGCCTGGGGCTGCCTGTACCGACTCTGGACAGCTCCACGTGGGCTGCGAGCACCTGCAGTGTGGAGCGCCAGCCATAGGGTGGGTGAGGGGCCACTTTTCTCTGCACAGGGAAGGAGCCCAGGGAAAAGCTGAGCATGGGGGGGAAGCGGCCCCTCCCCCATCCCTCACCCACTGCCCCGTGCTGCAGGTGCTCACAGCCCACATGGGGCTGTCTGGAGTGGGCACAGGCAGCCCCATGCGGGCTGCAAGCAGCTGCAGCTCAGGTCACCCGGCATGGGTGGAGAGGGGCCGCTTCCCCACCCGTGCTCCTTCCCTGCCCGGGGTTCCCCCCCCACTTACCTGACCTTCCCGCGCCAGAGCAGCCATGTGCTTCCACCCCAGAAACCAGGGCTGGAGCTTCCGGCTGGGGGGTGGGGCTGGGCGGTCCCCCCTGTTGTGGGAGTCCGCCGGGCTTCCCCTGGGTCCTACTGCTTTTGGTTCCTGTCATTTTTGACAGGAACCAAGGGCAGAGAAATATTAGTTTTCTACATTTTTTAGAGGCCCCCATGGGCTGGATAGAATGGCCTCGTGGGCCAGATGTGGCGCGCGGGCCATATTCTGCCCGCCCCTGCCCTAGCCCATGACATTCCTTTTGGCTCAGTCCTCCAATTTGTCTAGTCACTCTGAATCCTAGCCCTACCCTCCAGCATATCTACTACTCCCCCCATTTCACTAGATCTTTTATTTTTCATTTACAAAATATAAAATACTTTCTACCCTAAGTGCTTTCTTCTATCAGTCCACTGGATAAATAAATACATCCTTGTGTACATTTAATATTACTTATTTACTCTTGTAGTCATCTAATCTAGAAAACTTTCCAATTAACAAAATAAAATGTTCAATTTTGGACTAATTAACCTCAGTTGTTTGCTAATACAAAAACAGTCATCTTTTCATATCAACATTTTCACCTTGCTTCAGTTATTTCAAGACTCCAGTTATTTAAGACTCAGCAAAAAGCAACATGAATTTATTTTTAAACTATAGAAGGGAACAGTTCTGTGTTTACTTGTGCAACTGTCAGTCTGAATAGTTGCTCTCTCCAGTACTGTTTTTATTTAACAGCAACTAAGTAACATTGACACAAGATGTCCTTATTGTTACACGTTGGTTGTTTCAAAAGTCCTTACATAATTTATCTGTTTTAAATTTATCTAGTTACTACAACTTAGATGATGTGAGCCATGATACCATGAACAAATACCTTTCAGGCCTTGTTGAAAGATCCCTCTTTGATCTGGACTGTGCCTCCTGTATTGAAATTGAGAAGGTAAGATTTGATATAGAAAATAAAGAATCAGTAGAGGTAATATTCACTGCCATTTGGTTATTTTGCTTAGCTTAAGTTTAGTGTATTTACTTCTTTCTTTAATTATCAAATTCTTGATGTGAACCTTAAGAATTCTTTGGCATTATTACAGAATTCCTACATAAGGGGGCAATGGGAGATGGAGATCTTCACATTTGTTGCAGTAGTAGTAATTTATTTTCATCTTTATTTAAAATAATACAATAACATTATAATAAAATGTATATAATTTATATTTTTTGCTAAGGCATACAGTAGAATTGTTTATTTTGCCAGTTTAAACAAAATTAAAACAGAACATAGGATATGACAGTATGGCCCCTGACAGACATTACACTTAAGATGTGATTTACTATTTAACCACATCTGAACTAGTGACCTGGCAGCACATTCAGTCAATTAATGGCATGATAAAAGGAGAAATAAACCACAAAGTTATTACACAGAATACATGACTGGCTCTTACCACACCTTTAATTGAAAGTGTAGCTAATGCCTGGGCTGTAGAGCACAAAGGTGCCTTTCAAGATTCCCATGTGCTCCAGAGGCTGGGAGGCCCCTCAGCTGTGTGTGGCTCCCAGCTGGGGAGTGCACCAAGCATTTCTATGGCTAGGAGGCCCAGTCAGATGTCTGGGGCTCTCCCAGTTGGAAGCCCCGGTTAGATGATCAGAGCTCCCAGGCGAAGCAGCACACCATGAGCTCCTACAGCTGGAAGCAGGTGATCAGAGCTCCCAACCGGGGGAGTGCACTATGTGCTGCTGCAGCTGGAAGCCCCAGTCAGTTGATCAGGGTTTTCAGCCATAGGAGCACATGGTGCTGCCTACCAGCCAAGAGCCAAGCTGGCAACTTGTTGATGTAGGGAGAGCCTGACATTGAGCTCCCAATAACTTGGGAATTTCCCAGTTATTTTAGCAACTTGCATTGTGCTGTTAAGTAACTTAGCAGTTGCATTCTCATCATTCAGTCTCCTTAAATAAAATCTTAACATATTTTTGCAATTGTATATATGTTTCATGACACATGTTCTTCTTTAAACAGGATAATCGTGGCATTGTGCCTCTAACTTATGGCCGCATTGCTTCCTATTATTATTTGAAACATACAACTATTGGGATATTCAAGGATCTGTTGAAATCCGAAAGCAGCATTGAAGAACTACTTTTAGTTTTGACAGTAAGTGGTGACTCTTTCACTTGACCATCCATAAATCAAAGAGGTACATGATATTACATGAAAACCCTCCTAAAGAGTAAATAGTATTTCTACCCACACCCATAAGTATGTACTGACCTAGATTGTCTTCAGTAGTTTTACCTAGACTAGTTGAACTCTGTCCTCTACCTTGATAATTGGCAACATGTAAACTAGCCAGAGCTACATATCTGGCTTATCTAATAGCAATGACATGTCCAAGAGTACCTGGGACCATACTGGAGCTCATGTACTCCTGTATGTTCAGGTGCATTCCAAATTGTAATCTTACTTCTCTAAAATTTTACTGCTAGATATTGTAAACATCAAGATCCAAGAATAGAACCACCTTAGTATTTTTCAAATGAGCCATGAGTTACAATAATCATTTTAGAAAAAATTATTTTGTGCTATTTAGTAAGGGGAAAATATCCTTCTTTATATAGGAATATAGACATTTCTCTGGTAGGTATGATCAATGGTGTATACTTAAAAAGGTATGCAAATGCCTCATAATGGACAGCAAGTGCAAATCAAGTGGGAAAAATTTCCCACCAAATCTAGAAAGAAATTCTCTTATGTGATAAAACAAGAGGCTGGATGTTCATTATACAAATGTGTATATATAAAAATATTTTATTGGCTAGCATAACTGAAGATATTCTTCATATTGATATAATGTAAAGGACTAATTTTTTATTGGATCATAATAAGCTATTTGTCACTTTTACCGGTATTCTTATCAGTTTATAGGACCATTTATTGGGGGTTCTTTCTGCAGCATATTTGATATCCAAATCCTATGTTTGTTTTATTAATTTCCCTCAACAAGACAGTCTTTGTTTTTTTAAAATTATCTGTTCACATGATCGTTTGTCCATGATTCTAATTTCCCTTGCTCTTCTCCAAGTTTTTTATATTGCTGCTGCATGTACACTTTCTGAACAGGGCACCCAAAATGAATGGGTTCCAGATGATGGAGACCATAAAATCAATTTATCAAATAGTATTTGAATATTTTAATGTTATTCTCTAGATCTTTATTAATGCTAACACTTTAACAACTGTCCTGCATTAAGTTGTCTATAGTGTCCTCAGTGGCCATGTCTACATTAGACACTGACTGAGCAATTGTTACTGTGCAGGCATTTAAGTACTTGCATACCCAAGTATGCAAGTACTAAATGACTGTGTGGTAACCAGTGTTAATGCACAGTAGCATCCCCGCACAGCTTCCTGGTGATGCTGACTGCACAGTAGCTCGTTACAGCTGCGCAGTAGCGTCAAGTCACAGTGCGTGCAATGTGACACTGCTGTGCATTAGTAATGAGCTCCTGTGCAAGAAGTATCTCGTGTAGACATGCCAGTAATGCCAATTCATTTAGAACCCAGCACTTCTTATACTTGTTCAATACCTTGCACTTATCTATCATCTATTATTGGCCAGTTGCCTCATAATCCTTTCATAAATTAAGCAATTTAGTCATACACAAATTCTGTAACTGCTGTTGCTCATCACATTCCTGAGGGCTCTGATTGATATAATAAAACACACTGAGCTCACTACAAATTCTTGGTATGTTGCTCTTAATAGGTAAACTTTGTTCTTATCTTCAAGTACATAGTTGTGGACTTATTGCAGAAACATTAGGCTCCATATACAGTTGTTAGGGCTCACAAAAGAGCTGCTTCTGTCAAAAGAAATTGGCCAGGAAAATCATCAAGTGACTGGTGTAGACATTCCCTGCCCCTGAGTTTCCTTTCATGTTTGCATTTACTCATTAGACTAGTTCTGCTGCTTTCACAGCAAAGAGTCCCTGCAAGGCCTTCATTCTGGCACCCGGGCTTTTGCCCATCTTATCTCCTCACCCCCCATTCCCACCCCAGTTACGTTACTGAACTGGTTGCCTTTCAAAGTCTTGATGATGCATTAGAACATATTAGGAGCTTCCTCTTCTGGTATTCCAAAATATTTACAACTGACTAGATTTCCATGCTTGTAATAGGCAAAACAAAATGTCATATTATCTTCACTATATGCCTTGAAATTGACTTTCATGGTTAACAAGGTCATTCCTAAGACTTTCTAGAATTATTTCATTATTACTTTATATTATTATGTTTTATTAACTGTTATTAGATTGGAGGACAGTTATTATATCTATACATTCAATCCACATAGAACCTCAAACATTTATTTCTTAAGAGCAATGCCCTAGCAGAAATTGTACTGTGCTACATCTGCCTTGCACTTACTTTGCATTGATACACTGCATTTACCTGAATCCAAGGCCTAAGAACATAAGATGAGTTTGAATGTAAGACAACCCCCCCACACACACACACACAATAATTAGATTCTGTACATAGAAAATGATACATTTGTTATACAGTTCCATGTATAGAATATAAATATTGGAGTTTTTCTCCTAAATTTGTCCTCCCAATCTCCTCCCCTGCCCCCCTGAGGAAAGCAGTGGAAGAGGGCTTGGTGATGTGGAGAAAGTGTTTGGAGTGCAGGTAGCCAGACCCCTGCTTCTTGCCTCCCTGTCTGCCTCCTGCCACTTGCCCTTCCCCCCTCTTCCCTACTTGCCTTTCCCCACGGCATTGTGCTCAGCTAATCTGTACACAGAGAGAGCCCCAGAACTGCTCCTGCCCTGTACAGGTGGGAACAGCTACGGAGGGAGCCTGACTCGGCTGGGGACAGCAGTAGCAGCAAACAGGTTCCTCTTTCCAGCAGCTGCTCTCTTCCTGCCTCCCTCTCCCCTGTGTGCCTTTGCTTCAGTCCCTTGCCAAGGGCTCCATGCGCTGTTGCCCCCTGCAGCACAGGGCAGGAGCAAGTATGGAGTGGCTCTGGGCCTCCTCTTGCACATATATGAGCCAAGGACACTGATTTTTCCCACAGTTCCGAGTTGGAGTGATCCCATACTCAATTCTAAGATGCGGCTTTGTTTTCCCCATGCTGAATGGGGAAAAATCTTGGCTTAGTAAATAGCTTTGGATACAGGGCCCTCAATCCGGAAAAACCTCCTGTAAATATCACAAAGATTGTAAGAAATTGGTAACAAAAAACTAGAAACAAACAAGTGTAAACAGTTCTCTCAGTGAATGCACCTCTCACTTCTGGTATCTGTACTTGTGCATTGGACTCTCTTGAAACTTTTCAGTATTTTTTTCAGACGGATATTATGCCTTGATTACAAGATATATTAGCTACACTAATGAAAATGATCTACATGGAAACGACTTTGCATTCCTCTAGGACTGGGCTTGAAATTTGAATTGTCCTTTCATATTTTGCAATTTTTAAGTACTTGAAAAAAATAATCTGGTATTTCTAAAGAAAACTATTTTCACACTGTTACCTCTTATAAAAACTGTGCTATAATATTATTAGTTTATATTTTTATTTATAACTTTATGGTGGTTTTCATGTTTAAAGTACTTCAAACACACATCTGAGTCATATTTCTAAAACTAATTGAACAAATTGAAAATAAATGTTATGCTGTTGCCTTTTAAGGAAGTTGTGCTTTATCAGTTTGGCTGGTGAGCTGGGGTTAGCTGGGTGGTTTTCTTCTGTTTGGTTGTTTTTTGCGGTGGGGTTAGTTTTCTTTTTCAGCATGATTATACCCATTTATTCATGTTGCTTTGCTTTATAATCATCTGAATCTGTCTATTAGCTATTTCTCCAATCAAAGCTACTTATAATACTGTATGCATGCCAATATGTTAACTGAACACTAACATTCATGGCTACATCGACACTGCTGCCACCAAAGAAATTGTAGCAGCAATACCAGGAGTAGACTGGGAATGCTTGGGAGTGATTCTCCCCATCTGTATCTTGTCTGGTAAATTATGCGGCCTCCCACTTCCCCCACTACTTCCTGGTCCCTAAGGCCCATCAGGCCTCTGGAATAATAGCCTTCCTTTGCTGCCAGCTCATGTAGTTAGTCCTGGCACTTGTAAGGGTTGTGGTTCAGTGTAAAAGGTATAGCTGTAGATGCAGAATGGTTACATATTTACATAATAGAAATTGTTTTACCCCTTTTTCTTTTTCCAAAATATAGCAACACATTTAAAAGATTATTATTTAGCTTACAGAGGCAAGCCCTAAAAGTTTTCGAATGCCAGAGTTACCATTACCCTTGCAACCTTAATTTGCCCACTTGCATTTCTATCCTGTTCATTAAATGAGGTCAAAATCCTGTGGAAAAAGATGTGACTGTAATTAAAGGCTGTATCATAGTGCATAGAAGAGGGCAGAATTAAGGATACAGAAACAACCTGAAATCTAGCATTTCCTCACTTTCAAGTCCTTAACCTCACAACTCCCACTCCATAGGTTAACTTTAGAATGGTTCTGCTCCACTATTATTCTGATGTGCTGCCAACATTTTCTTAGGCAACACATAAAGGAAAATGGAAATGTTGCTTTTCAACAATTTACATCCTATCATTATTTCATGAGACACAAAAAGCCACTTCTTTTTCCCATGGACTTTCTCCTGCCAGTTTAAATAGCCTGCTACAAATAATGGATATGTGAAAAGTTCAGAATAAAGGTCACCATAATCTTTTATATGGAAACTGTCAGACAATCTTAATGTAGGAGATGTGACCCATTCTGTCTAAAATGTCCATTGTATAAAACTCTCTCTTGCATTTTCCTGTTAGTAAGTGCTACATGTAAAATTATTATAAACTAAAAGGGCTAAGAAAATGTCTGCTAGGGAAAATTATATCATTTTAGAAGACAAGTTAACTAAAATGACACTGAACACACAAGATCATATTCTCACCCTTCATTCCATCCCCTTTTAGTAAAACAGCCAAAAAGAGGAGAAAAAGTCCCCCAGTCTCCCATTCCAACTAAAGGCGTATTCCTCCAGCATAAGCCTGGCAAACGATGGTTTCAGACTATCTTCTGAAGATCTCCTTGCAACATTTGAGATGGGGGATGTTCTGGGAGCTACACT